ACACTGAAGCAGCAAACTTTGTGGAGACCAATACTTGTGTCATTCTCAAAACTTTTGACCACGACTGTATATAAGTATTCAGACCCTTTACTCAGTACTTTCTTGAAGCACCTTTGGCAGCGATTACAGCCTCGAGTCTTCTTGGGTATGACACTACAAGCTTGGCACACCTGTATTTGGGGAGTTTCTCCCATTCTTCTCTGCAGATCCTCTCAAGCTCTGTCAGGTTGGATGGGGCGCGTCACTGCACAGCTATTTTCAGGTCTCTCCTGAGATGTTCGATCGGGTTCTGGCTGGGCCACTCAAGGACATTCAGAGACTTGTCCCGAAGCCACTCCTGCGTTGTCTTGGCTGTGTGCTTAGGGTCGTTTTCCTGTTGGAAGGTGAACCTTCGCCCCAGTCTGAGGTCCTGAGCGGGTTTTCATCAAGGATCTCTCTGTACTTTGCTCCGTTCATCTTTCCCTCGATGCTGACTAGTCTCCCAGTCCCTGCCGCTGAAACACATCCCCACAGCATGATGCTGCCACCACCATGCTTCACCGTCGGGATGGTGCCAGGTTGCCTCCAGACGTGATGCTTGGCATTCAGGCCAAAGAGTTCAATCTTGGTTTCATCAGACCAGACAATCTTGTTTCTCATGACCTTTAGGTGACTTTTGGCAAACTCCAAGCGGGCTGTCATGTGCCTTTTACTGACGAGTGGCTTCAGTCTGGCCACTCTACCATAAAGGCTTGATTGGTGTAGTGCTGCAGAGATGGTTGTCCTTCTGGAAGGTTCTCCCATCTACACAGAGGAACTCTAGAGCTCCAGGAAGAGTATTGGTGGTTCCAAACTTCTTCCATTTAAGAATGATGGGGGCCACTGTATTCTTGGGGACCTTCAATGCTGCAGACATTTTTTGGTACCCTTCCCCAGATCTGTTTCTCAACACAATCCTGTTTTGGAGCTCTACGGACAATTCCTTCGACCTCATGGCTTGGTTTTTGCTCTGACATGCACTGTCAACTTGGGACCTTATATAGACAGGTGTGCGCCTTTCCAAATCATGTCCAATCAATTGAATTTACCACAGGTGGACTCCAATCAAGTTGTAGAAACATCTCAAGGATGATCAATGGAAACAGGATGCACCTGAGCTCAATTTTGAGTCTCATAGCAAAGGGTCTGGCTACTTATGTAAATAAGGTATTTCTGTTTTTTTTTTTTTTTTATACATTTGTAAAAAATTCTAAAAACGTATTTTCACTTTGTCATTATAGGGTATTGTATGTAGATTGATTAGGATTTTTTTTTTACAATTTAGTCAATTTTAGAATAAGGCTATAACGTAACAAAATGTGGAAAAAGTAAAGGCATCTGAATACTTTCCGAATGCACTGTACCTTGCCATTTGCATTTAATTAATGCTATGAAATGCCTGTCTTTAATCCCATTTGTAAAACACATTTATCTGCATCAGATCCTGCAGGATTAAATAACCTTTTCATATAGAGTCATTAGTAGAAACATTACATCCATTCAATTTTCCAAATCTAGTCAAAATAAATGCATCATATACAAAGCCCATCGAAACTGTGCTTTTTTATTGTGGCGTGAATGTAGTCTAGTCTGCAAAAAATAATTGTATCTTTGGACATAAACCCATTTGTGTAAACAGCATGTATACTGTACATGTATGACCATGTCATGGGAGTGGACCACTCACTGGTGTAGCACACTCCCGCAGCCATCCGCAATTATGGATATTAACTGGAAAATGATCGTAAGTTGTTTCTTGCAATAACCCTCTTTGACTTTAAAAAATATTATCTCAAAACTTTGATTCTTAAAAGATGTCAGGAGATTTGGTCAACCCTGTCAGATTAGTGTAAAATCCTAAATTAATCAGGAATGAGCAGGGTCAGCTATACCATAAGGACCCCTTATTCATGTTCTCATTGCATGTAGTGCAACAAGACCACTCATGGTTTGTAAAGTTCTCTACGTTTGATAGATTTAAACAAACAATATGGAATCACCATGGTCACAACCATAAACTGTCAACTCCATCTGCCTGATAGATTAAAACATATTTGGTTTTAGAGTCATAAAGCAACTGAGGAAAAACTAAATTGCTACTGTGTATACAACTTGAATGAAGAACAAAAATTCAATTTTTGTAAACGTAATTAAACGTAAACTCAGTCAGAGTGCTGAAAGATATGATAGAATGGTTATGTTTGTCCATATTTTACAAATGTTTGTAATTAACTTTTATTTTTAGAGGCAAAAATATGTTTGTCTTGAGTATCTGTTGTCAACTCTGTCAGTGGCTTGTCAACTTCATCACTGATGGCTAACCCCCTTAAAATAGAGATTTTTGGTCAATATTCTGAAAAAAATATTGTAATTACTGTTCTGCAACATATGCTTAAACAATTGAAGTATTTGCTGTGCTAGACCTAAGGGATAATGTTTGCTTTATAAATATTGTTTTTATGTTCTAAATTTGGCAGGCCCCGGCGAAACTGCGCTATGCTACTGGGACCACTGCTGTGTGGAAACAAATCATACTTTCCCACCACCTGTTATGTTGTCTTTCACTGATACCAATGGTTGCTGCAGCAACTCAAGTTAGATTTGCAAGCTATAATGTATAATCACAATAATACGTCATTGTGAGATATGGTTTAGGTGTTAGGTTATGAGAAAATTACAGTCCAGAGAGACCAAGACGATTTTTGGATTGAGCTGCTTGCAAAATAATGAATCAAGACAAATTAAGTCCCATCATAGATTTCCTTGTGAGTAAAACAAAATATATCCAGGAAGGTAGGCCATGGCACTGTCTGTCAAATTGACATCTTCTTAATTGTTTAGAAAACAAGAGGAGACTTCCTCTCTTTGAACACGGAGAAATAGGAAAGGTGAAAACGACCCTACCAGCCATTACTATCTTTGTTTCTATTTGTCCTAGATGTCTTGGGCTGATATTGTATTTGATTATACAAGATAGTTATTAGCTTTCTATTTTTGTTCCTTTAAATCTAAAAAAATAAACAATTTGAATAGGCTGGTAGAAGTTGTATCATGAACATCTACAACATTTGGTTTCGTTTTGGTTGGCATTGAGCCAAAACACAAAAACGGCTATCTACTGGACATGAAATTGCCTGGTTGAGTGTGTATGACACTGTAAAAAAACAACAACAAAAAAACACGTGCGAGCGCATGTGTAGTAGGCGTGCAGAAGAGTGAAAGTGGAGGAAAAGAGTCCAGTTTTTCCTCAGGAAACTAACTCCATTTCCACTTGGCTACAGACACAACGGTTACTCTGGAATCTGATTTGCGTAGGCAGTTTAAAAATAACGGGGTATAAAGGCATGGTCACACATATGAGGAATTGGGCAGTCCACTCCGCACATGAGCTCTAGATAGGCTATAAGTCTCTGGTTTAAAGATGATTCACACATATCTCTTACTCATAATGTTTTGTTTAAATTAGAAACTCCTAACTGCATACTTAATGTAGTCTATATAAAAAAATAATATATATATATATATATATATATATATAGCGTGATGGTGCATGGCACTTGAAGCACAACTTTGGCTGTCCAACAAATGTTTCACATATGTTTTATTGCAGCTGGTCATATCATGTTGAACATAAGACAATATTTGTTTAATTTCTCTTTAAACTGTATATTTCCAGGTTTAAAAAAAACATTAAGCAATTCTTTATTGTATTTATACAAATACCTAACATATTTGTACAATTCATCTTCGTCATCAGGGCGGCAAGCCTCGCAGATGTTTTAAACACCTGTAATGCTCTATGTGCCAAGCACCTCCATGTGCATAATAATGAAGCCAACGAATGGGCTTGTTTATGTAAAGATCATTCACAAACATGTACACTAACTGCTTTGTCTACCGTCAAGACTAACAAATTGTTTCGATTGCCCTGTTAATGGCATACGTTCACACATTTCTAATTGTTTAAATGTTAAACAACTAGTGGATCAAGGTGAGACAAATTATTGATATTAGGTCTATCCATAGATTGTCATATCGTTGCAAAATAAGGTCTGTTGAAGAGGGGTAAAACGAAACTCTGGAAGTAGCTGGATATTTAACTTGCAAATAATGCATTCATCAGTTGTTACACTTAACTCAGTGTTAGGCCTAGGATTGGTTCTTTTAAAACACTTGAAAATATGTATTTTTGAGTGGTCTAATTTAGAAGACCATAATGTCATATTGAAGTTTAGAAACTATTATCTCATTATTTCAGATAAATTATATCAGACAAATTCTCCGATTATTGAAATAATTGCATAGCGAGTTTGCACAGGGTGAGTGTCGCCCCCTTCGGTTATACATAATGGAATCTTACGAGGAGCAGTTGGGTTCGATTTGGCAAGGTCTCAAACGTCCTTGGTTTTGAGTGGGAAAGCAAAGGGGACAATGATTCAAACGAATATCAATAAATATATATGTAGGACACTTCTCCTTATAATATATAATATGGTTAGAATAATATTATACTAGAATCATATTAATACATGCTTATTACATGGTTATTATTATTGATTAATCATTGAATTGAAATAAGAGTGTAGTTGCAATTGTTGCAATTGTACACTTTTTACCACACAAATCATAATTACAAATTAAACTTGGCTTTGTAAAAATGTAATATCATGACAGCTTTATCTGCAGTAAAACTCACTGAAAAGAATGAGTGTTATATGCCCCATACAACCTTTTTTCTATTTAATTAACCCCAACATGCTATGGCTTTTACTAAATAATATTTTGATATTTTGTAAGACTTTAAAAATGTATTTCACTTATACAGACACTGGCATTTGGTGACAATAAAGGACATGTAAAATAGTAGTTAGCCTACCTCAACACTTCACACTATTGGTCGACAGGTGAGACGCCCCCGCTAAGTCCGCCCAGTACGGGGCTATAACAAGCTGGCACTAGTCATCAGTAGTTACATCGTTTGACTTGGATCGCAACCCATCGTATCGTTAGATGTTTTGGGGGTAAATCTGACAGTTTCGTTTGGTTTACTGAATTTGGACAGGCGTAAAAGGTTGAATAGAATAACATTTTGCAATGGCTCTCGCTGATGCGATGCTGCGGTCGATTACTACGTTTTCCAGCAGTCCGACTATGGAGGAGAAGCAGTCTGCAATTTTCCATGTAAGTGTAATTTTTTCTATGTAATTTCTTCAACTGAAAATTGCTGAACATTTTTATGTCATTGGGACGATAAATATGTATAGCCTATTACACAAATAAAAATATACAACTTTTTTGGAAAGAGGCTCTTGACTAAAACAATGTTTGAATGCCAATTTCGTTTTATTTACATTATAGGACTGGAAAGTTGATGGTTGCCAGACCAGCGCAACAGGTGACGATTTGAAATCCCAGATCGAAGTGGAGTTCAGTATCGTTGAATCACCTGCGGTGACCAGAGATGAAGACGACCTGGGGAAATTCTTGGATTTAGAGTTCATTTTATCCAACACCATTGGATCTGAAAGTGGAACCAACAACAATAACAATTTATCTGCTCAACAGTCGTACTCCTACTCACTGCCTGAGTCCCCGGAAAGCTGCAGCACAGGGCATGACAGTGACGGCTCTCAACTTACACCCAATGCTTACGGCAGCAGCAACTTCAACACAAGTCCCGGGCACAGTCTGGTAGCCGAGCTGCTGACCCCCGAGATGAACTATCATAGCGACACACTGCTAGACTACAGCCTGAAACAGCCTGCCACGGACAGGCCGGAGTATACTGAACTGCGTGCCTTGAACACAGCCACTGACACTGCAGTGCACTTTCAACTGACTAACTCTCATCCCATGGGATATAAAATAAAGACAGAAACCACTGAGCAGTCGTGCATGATGGCAGGTGACTTCATGGGACACATGTATGAACAGAAACACATGCGTTCCATGCACACAGCGTTCGCGCACCATCAACCTGCTGCTCAGGGGTTTGCATCTCACGACATGCAACAGAGTGTGTCCCGAGACGGGATGGGGCGCAAAGACTGTCACTTGGCAGAGATGAACTCTCATCACCAGCATTCTCACATTGCACACCCGCAACAGTATGCGCCATATCCACCACAGTACGCCCATCACCAAGGTGCGCAACAGTACGGGATGTTCAGAGAGCCCATGCGAGTGCGCCATCCGTCCATGTCGGGGGTAATATTGACACCACCATCATCACCACTTTTGGAGTTCTACGCACCAGAAGATAGCAAACCCAAACGGGGCCGCAGGTCTTGGGCGAGAAAACGCACCGCGACGCACAGCTGTGAATTCCCTGGATGTGGGAAGACTTACACCAAGAGTTCCCACCTAAAGGCTCACATGCGAACACACACAGGTAATTCTATTTTTCATTTTAGCATTTTTTGTTGGTATCTGCTATCATGTAGAAAATGTTAGCCCCGTTTTTCTAATGATTTTACCCACAAAAATGTAGCCTAACTGTATTTTTCTTGTAATCCATAGGCGAGAAACCATACCATTGCAATTGGGAAGGCTGCGGGTGGAAATTCGCGAGGTCTGACGAGCTGACGCGTCACTATAGGAAGCACACCGGTCACAGGCCTTTCCAGTGCCACCTGTGCGAGAGGGCATTCTCGCGCTCCGATCACCTTGCGCTGCACATGAAGAGACACATGTAAACAGAGAAAGTTGGATCTGACTTTCAACGTTCTATTTTTGTATCATGGCGTTGGACATGACATGTAAATGCTTGTACATATTATCATTCTCTTCTAAATTATGGAAGTACAGTATTTAATTAAGGAAAAGTAGAGCCTTTCTTGCTTACTCTTCAATTTATGAGTGTTGGTGACTGCTGATGGTTGCTATTTTGGCTTTTGAAATAAAACACTGAACAAGGGCAGGACCCAATATGTCTTTACATACTGTACATGTTAATGGCCATCTATCACTTAGGCCTACTGCATCATTTTGATACTTCAGGTCAGGGTTTTTCCTTTTTTGTTGCTGTTTACAAGAAACATCATTACCTTTTCTATGGTTTTCTATAGTTTTTACAATAAAATTATGTACATTTAAAAACTGATAGTTTTTTTCTATTGAATTGTTTGAAGGCTTACTATGCTTCTCAAAGTGCTCTTAAATAAATCAGGTACTAAACATTACTTTTCAATGTTTTATACATTTTGTTTAAATATATTATGCTAAAGTTGTAAGGAAATATTGTCAGAAAACTGTACTATACATACTTGAAGTTCTGGGCAAAATATATTTTTAAAGTATAATTGTAAGGGCAATGCATTTTCATTCCTGGACAACAGCAAATTGTTTTTTACTCTGTAAGAGCAATAAGTCTATTAATTATGTTACTTTGAACTGCATCAAAGCAAATATAGTTTTGTAAAATCACCAAGACAAAGTGTTAAAAGAGCTCTGTGTTTTATTAAAATAAAATTATGTGGAAATAAATAATAGTTTTTCTTTTTCATTAATCATGAATAGTGTTCACATTACAGTATCCAACAAAGGTCTGGCCCAGAAATGGATCTAGTATGAGTTCTAACATGCTTTTTATAATAGTAACAGGTAACACTTTTGTTGAGGCTTCCTAAGACCTGGCGGCCTGAGGAAATATACTGAACGTGGCCTATACCGTAGATCTATACCGTAAATCTAAATATTTATTATTTACACCTTCACAGAAAGATTTGCATAGGCATAAAAGCTGGCCTAATGTCATATTTTGGTTTCCTCATTTTGAATTCAAAGATCTGATAAATATATAAATCAACACCCATGTGTCTCCTTAAATACAATGAGCCATGCTCATTTAGGCCTACATCTTTGAATTCAAAATGAGGAAACCAAAATATGTGTGGCTCTTTAGATTGATATCTTACACTCTTAGAAAAAAAGGTGCTATCTAGAACATAAAACGGTTCTTCGGCTGCCCCCATAGGAGAACCCTTTGAAGAACCCTTTTTCGTTCCAAGTAGAACCCTTTTGGGTTCCATGTAGAACCCTCTGGGATAGGGTTTTACATGGGACCCAAAAGGGTTGTACCTGGAACCAAAAAGGGTTCTACTTGGAACCAAAAAGGGTTCTCCTATGGGGACAGCCAAAGAACCCTTTTGGAACCCTTTTTTCTAAGAGTGAGGGCAGGTTCCCATCTTCACTGAGTAATAATAGTACTCTTTTATGCAGCATTTCATGCCAAAATGTTTGTACTTGTTGCCTCAAGACGTGTTAATTTGACCAACTTCCATTTATTAGGCTACATTTAAAGTGAAAAATGCTTTCAATTCTATCATCTACCTCATGAGGGCAGTCTTGCACCATTACACTGATGTAAGCCAGCAGTAACCCCTCCAGAATTCAATTGAGCCAAGTCAAGGCAAGGATATGCCTTCTTCCTTGGTCTTAGTATTCATGAAATGGAGTATATTTGTTTCCTTTCATTTCCACACTTATCTAAATAGAAACACAAAACACATTTCCTGACATAAAGCAGTCCTTACAAAAAGTGATGATCCACACTGTAATAATAATGCAATTAAAATGTGGTCTCTTTATTCATGATTCATTCAGGATTATCCGTAACCATGGTAGCATCCACATTAATATAGAAGTGTTTAGAAACATATTCTATTCTTATTTACAATACAAGTGACTCCAAAATGACACAATACATTATTTACCATTCATTTCTATTGGGCACAAAATAATCTGAAACACAAACAAAAACAAACAGCAAATTCATCCAAAAAGTTTGTAGAGTCACAAGCTTGATGTAATCATTGTGTGCTAGGAATATGGGATCAAATATTAAATATGATATATAGGTGGTTCAACCTGTGTTTCACTTAGCATAGCGTTGGGGACACAATGTTTACTTGAAATGTGTCCCTTCCCTTTCAACAGATAGGCATCCTAAGTGACTGTCTATGAGTCTTATGTTTGTAGGGAATGAGGGTGTGTATAATAATTTACAGTTTCCCAAATATAGGCTTAACTATATCTAATCCTTTTGGACAGTTGACTGTGCCATTCAATAACTGTATCATAAAGTAGAAGTAGACATATGGTCATAAGTGTTGATATACATTAGTTCACATTTTAGTATTATACAGTTTTACACAGTAATAACACATTCTCTAGAATCCAATTATTGACATAGTCAAAGCACATGGCAGATTTTAACTCATGTATGTACACAGTTTGACTATAAGTGCAGCAGCGCAGCTGGTACTGTACCATGGATTGTTTAATTAATTAATATTATTTATATAATAATAATAATAATAATAATAATATGATATGCCATTTAGCAGATGCTTTTATCCAAAGCGACTTACAGTCTTGCGTGCATACATTTTACGCAGGGGAGGTCCCGGGAAATCGAGCACACTATCCTGGCGTTACAAGTGCCATGCTCTACCAACTGAGCTACAAAGGACCATTACTATTGTGAAGCATAATTGCTATGGTAATTTGGAATGTCCAGTCAATGAGCATTATGGGTAATAGGCCTAGTCATCCTACAGATTTAAAATTGGCCTACAAACGCTTACATCAAATGCTTTATGATAGCATCATCTCCCGTACTAACAGTGCCTTTCCAAACACAAAAACTGGAAAATAAACAAATAACCATCTAATAATACTGAGAGAACGTTGTCAAAGTTAGTTAAAAGCCCACATTTTTATTTAGAAGACTTTTGCCCAGTGAGTTTTGCAGACCAAAGGACTTACCCAACAGGCCTAGCTGATGGCTAGTAAGGGGCCTAAAGTCTTGTGCCTCACGGTCCGAGTGGCTCTACGCCTCCTGCGGACTGGGCGAGAAGTGGATCGTCTGCATCAGGGCATGATTCTTATACCCAGTGAGTGGCTGGGACTAGGTTTGGGCGGTATCCAGATTGTCCTACTTTCATAACGACCTTGTGCCATACCGGGATATTCGGTAATACCAGCACTGAACACAAGGGGCGCTATTTTCAACCCCCACTGAGCCTTTGTAATCCGAGGGAATGCTAACAAGTACATACATGTAAAATCCCATAGAGAATGCTAGCTAAATGCTACCAAGCGCATTGTGAACATTTTAAAGTATTTACAGGACAGACATCCCAGCTCATAAAGTTATACAAGTAACAAAAAAATGCAACTCACAGTTTGCTGCACACACAGCACAAATATTAGACAGCGACTTTCTTGATCCAGGAGACGATTCTCTGCTGTTACCAAGCGAAGCTTGATTTTGGAAGAAGCTAATCATAAAAAAAAAAAAAACATATTTAGGGGGTAGATCAGCTTTAATATTGCAGATAGATTGTAGCTTCCATCAATGTATTTGTCTGCATAATTTCCAATCCCCCATATATATTTTTGTAAATATATATATATTATATATATATTTTTTGTAAATATATATATATTTTTGTAATGTAATGTATTTTTTTTGCAGCCCCCTCGTCCCCTCCAGAGGAACAGCAGCTTGGACCTGGACCAGGAGGATCAGTGTGTTCTGACACCGGTCACCCACATGTCACAGTGAGTCTGTTTCCCTTTCAGTCTGTGGTCTATGGCACGTTGTGTTTGCTAATCCAAGTTATCATTTTAACAGGCTAATTGATCATTAGAAAACCCTTTTGCAATTATGTTAGCACAGCTGAAAACTGTTGTGCTGATTAAAGAAGCAATAAAACTGGCCTTCTTGAGGATAGTTGAGTATTACATTTACATTTTAGTCATTTAGCAGACGCTCTTATCCAGAGCGACTTACAGTTAGTGAATACATATATATTTTTTAATTTTTTATACTGGCCCCCCGTGGGAATCGAACCCACAACCCTGGCGTTGCAAACGCCATGCTCTATCAACTGAGCTACATCCCTGCCGGCCATTCCCTCCCCTACCCTGGACGACGCTGGGCCAATTGTGCGCCGCCCATGAGTCTCCCGGTCGCGGCCGGCTGCGACAGAGCCTGGATACGAACCAGGATCTCTAGTGGCACAGTTAGCACTGCGATGCAGTGCCTTAGACCACTGCGCCACTCAGGAGTATCTGGAGCATCAGCAATTGTGGGTTCGACTACAGGATCAAAATGGCCAGAAACAAATAACTTTCTTCTGAAACTCGTCAGTCTATTCTTGTTCTGAGAAATGAAGGCTATTCCATGCGAGAAATTGCTAAGAAACTGAAGATCTCGTACAACGCTGTGTACTACTCCCTTCACATAAGAGCGCAAACTGGCTCTAACCAGAATAGTAAGAGGAGTGGGAGGTGCCGGTGCACAACTGAGCAAGAGGACAAATACATTAGTGTCTAGTTTGAGAAGTCAATACTTTGTAGAGCCACATTTTGCAACAATTACAGCTGCAAGTCTCTTGGGGTATATCTCTATCAGCTTGGCACATCTAGCCACTGGGATTTTTGCCCATTCTTCAAGGCAAAACTGCTCCAGGTCCTTCAAGTTGTATCGGTTCCGCTGGTGTACAGCAATCTTTAAGTCATACCACAGATTCTCAATTGGATTGAGGTCTGGGCTTTGACTAGGCCATTCCAAGACATTTAAATGTTTTCCCTTAAACCCCTCGAGTGTTGCTTTAGCAGTATGCTTAGGGTCATTGTCCTGCTGGAAGGTGAACCTCCGTCCCAGTCTCAAATCTCTGGAAGACTGAAACAGGTTTCCCTCAAGAATGTCCCTGTATTTAGCGCCATCCATCATTCGTTCAATTCTGACTAGTTTCCCAGTCCCTGCCGATGAAAAACATCCCCACAGCATGATGCTGCCACCACCATGCTTCACTGTGGGGATGGTGTTCTCGGGTGATGAGAGGTGTTGGGTTTGCACCAGACATAGCGTTTTCCTTGATGGCCAAAAAGCTCAATTTTAGTCTCATTTGACCAGAGTACCTTCTTCCATATGTTTGGGGAGTCTCCCACATGCCTTTTGGCGAACACCAAACGTGTTTGCTTATTTTTATCTTTAAGCAATGGCTTATTTCTGGCCACTCTTCCATAAAGCCCAGCTCTGTGGAGTGTAAGGCTTAAAGTGGTCCTATGGACAGATACTCCAATCTCCGCTGTGGAGCTTTGCAGCTCCTTCAGGGTTATCTTTGGTCTCTTTGTTGCTTCTCTGATTAATGCCCTCCTTGTCTGGTCCGTGAGTTTAGGTGGGCGGCCCTCTCTTGGCAGGTTTGTTGTGGTGCCATATTCTTTCAATTTTGTAATAATGGATTTAATGGTGCTCCGTGGGATGTTCAAAGTTTCTGATATTTTTTTATAACCCAACCCTGATCTGTTTGGAGAGCTACTTGGTCTTCATGGTGCCGCTTGCTTGGTGATGCCCCTTGCTTAGTGGTGTTGCAGACACTGGGGCATTTAAGAACAGGTGTATATATACTGAGATCATGTGACATATCATGTGACACTTAAATTTCACACAGTTGGACATTATTTA